CCATCGGTAGACTCAATTAGAATTTCTATACTTAACGGAATTATTAGAAATTCATATTGTGTTTGTGTCCTTGTTCCACATAATCTCATTATGCGAAATACACTCATTCAATATCTCACCATATTAACAGTGCGGATAACACCGTTCCATTCTAAATGGGAATGACATGTATTAATAATGTTTTAATTAAAGATTCCAAACTTTAATTAAATTCATTATGAACATTGCTTTTTGATTATTATCCTTAAACATTATCCTCTCGGTATATAACACTTATATACAATGTTTAAGGTTACATAAATAATCATGGAATTTTTATTGATATTCATAAAATATTCATAAATATATGCACATAAAATAATGAATAAACTATTTTATTAAATAAATAATAAATATCCTATTACATCTCATTCTTCTAGAACACCATTCCCAACAAGTTAAGACTCTCTCAATACCCCAAGCATCCAAACATGACTCAATGACTTTACCAACACTCTCTCCCTTGTGACTTGAAATTTGACAAAAGTTTATAATCCTTTTTTGCAAAGTCCACTCACTATCAACGTAGTGTGCAGTTAGACACAAATAATTAATATTTTGTAAGGATATCCAACAATCAGTTGTTAGGCAAATCCTTTGACTGCCCTTACTAAATTCAGCCCTTAGTTTCTTCCTATCTTCCAAAAAAAGTTGGTAAATGTCCTTAGCAATCGTAACACTGGAGAGGATAGAGAACCTAGGCTGCGTCACTTGACAAAAATTCTTAAATCCTTTACCTTCAACAAACCTAAATGAAAGCTCATCTACAATCACCATTTTTGCTAACGCTTTTCTACAATGCTCATTGTTAAAGCCTATAGCAACAAGACTACTGTCAGTTTCAGTGTTTGTTTAGAAACTTAGAGTTTTTTGCTTTTTGTCCTGGTTCCTATATGGGTATTTCTTGCATTGCTTTTCTATGTGAACCTTCATACTACTGGTGTCATGTCTCCTACTATCACACGCATATGTTGCCCCACAATAGATACACTTGCACCTAGGCTCATTTGGATCCTCACCCTCTATGATTTTGAAATGATCCCAAACAGGAGACTTTTTTGTGACTTCTTCCTCTTTTTCGTTTTCAATTTTAGTGCCCAAATTAGGTACAGGGGTAGGGTTGGGTGTGGGAGTGGGCAAGGTAATGAGCTCTTTAGGCATAGAGACACTTTCTGTTTCAACAGAGGACTTGCAAGTGCTTTCAGAAGTTTTTGTCGGGTGGATGATAAATTTTTCCATCTACCACACAAATTAACCTAAAAAACATATAACAAGGCGATTGGTTAATCCAAGGCGATTGGAACTCATAAAATCCAAGGCTATTGGTTAATTACATTGGAAATAAGGTGCATAATTGAAGATTTCTGCAGGCTACAGAATTGAAATATCATAGATGCCTAATTCCTGAAAGATTTTTAACTTTTTATTTTTGCTAAGCCTAAGAATAATCCTTCAAACATCGGAAGTACTATAGCATCTAATGCAACTTTAAAGAGGAAACATATATAAAACTAAATTGCAAAAGAGGATGCTAAGGCGATTCTTAAGTAAATAACAAAAGAAAGCTAAGCATAAAACTTTGAAAAGTGATCAGAGGCCAAAATTGACTTTCAAAGTTGCTTCATAATGATTAATGATATGCGCTGCACATTCTTCTTGCAAAAGTTCGGTATGACTGTTGATCAGAACATACATAACACGTTCAAAGTTGTTTTAGAATGCAACGCCCTGCACATTCTTCTAAGTTCTAACAGAAAGTCATGTATGAATGTTAAAAAGAAACCTTTCACATCCTTAGACTTCAAAAGGAGTTGGCCTTCAAAATCAACTTCAAAGGAATACTGGAATAGCTTTACCCAATAACAAGTTAACAACAAAACAAAAAACCTCAATAATACATGCAAGGCCAACATTGTTCTGAACGGTCTAAAGCAAAAATTCAGATATGCATTTTTAAGGGAAAAATAAGACAAATAGTTTGGACTCCCTAATGATTTTCAAGATGATAGGATGCAGCCCAAACAATGTCTTACATGACTTATGATTTTATGAGTTTCTAAGAAATCGATAACAAGGCGATTGATTAATCTAAGGCGATTGGAACTCATAAAATCCAAGGCGATTGGATAACATGTCGATTTTCCGAGAAATTGATTAATCCAAGGCGATTGGAACTCGTAAAATCCACCAAATCACTTCAAAATTTCGACCTTTTTTTTCAGAAATATATAGAATAAATGGAACAAAATTATTATTAACAAAAATGACACTAAGAACCAAACTTGTAGATATAAAGAAAACAAAAGGCAAATAACAAGCAAATCGGATAACATTAGAAACCTAAAACCCAAATGTTAAATTTTATTTCCAACTGATGTTATTTCCTTGGAAAAATCAGACAAAACACACAGAAATTACAAGTGGAAGAAAAAAACATAGGAGCAAGAAGGAACTTACCTGATGAAACTGGAAGAAGCAAGAAGCAAGAACGGCGAGGAACAACGAGTGTAAGGAACGGCGAGAAACGGCGAGGAACGGCGATGAACGGTGAGGAATGGCGAGAAACGGTGAGTAATTTAGGGATGAGGGATTTAGGGTGAAGGAGGAGGCGAGGCGAGGCGTGCGTGAGGCGAGAGGCAAGAGGCCAGAGGCGAGAGGATAGGAGGGAGGCGAGAGGCAAAGACAGCAGAGGATCAAGAGCGAGAGAGTCAAGAGACTGAGGACGAGGGATTTAGGAATTAGGGCTAAGGCTTCAAAACGGCCGAGTCGGGGCATTGCGGGTTCAAGCATGCCCGACCCGCCCCCTAACCTACACAGTGCGGGTTGGGACAATTTTGATCCGAGGAAAAAAAAAACCTATTTAGTCGGATCAGGCGGGTTTTTCGGGTTCGGGCTCAATTTTTACACTCATAAATTTAATAACTCCTCACGTGCCATCCTCACGTGTAACTTTGTATGAAATGAAAATGAAAATATACGTCCTATTAACTAAAGTGAGACAAGTGTATATACTAAAATAGTCTGCATTTATAAATATAAGCTCATGCTATTTTTTTCTTTGAAGGAATATTGTATTAATAATATACCATGATAATTTCCCTAATAATAATAATAATAATAAAACTACATTAAGACCAAAAATATCAAAATGTAATAAAAATTTATCAAAACTGGACGCTCTTAAAAGTTGAAACGTACACATAAGTAGTTTTCCTAGATATTCGCTACTTCTTTGTGCATAAATGGCCGTAATAGAAAGATAGAAATGCTAAAATTACTCTAAATATTACTATTTTTTTCACTCTCTACCTCCTCCTTTTGCCACTTGTCTTTACATTTTCTCAGAACAAATCAAACCAAAAGTTGATCCCCTTTTTGTCATTTATTACAAGAATACCATTCTTTTTTTTTCTTTGTTGTTAAAACATTTTTTTTTTCTATTCATCGTTGAAAACATAATATGTGATGTTTGTTGAAACTGGAGCCTGCATGGGAGGTGGTTTATCCTTTTTTTTTTTTTTTTGCACTATAACCTTTTTTTTTTTTTTTTTTTTTTTGCTAAATTCGTTTATCCTTTTTAAGAAATTATTATTCGCAGGACAAATACCCACTTTTTTTTTTACCAATTTATTTTAGAACTAAAATTTCTAACGTTTTTTTTACTAAAAATTTTAACCTTGTTTTAAAGCATTTGTTCCTCAACATGACGAAACCAAAATATTTATAAGCCAAACAGACTAAAATATTTATAAGCCAAACAAACTAAAATATTTATAAGCATGGTTTAGAATCTTATTCCTTTTTTTTGGGGGGAAAATTAACAGACAAGTGGCAAAAGAAGGTAGAAATTGAGAAAGAGAGTAATATTTAAAGTGACCTTAGCATTTATTTCTGTTTATTTGTAATCGTTGGTGATTCTTAATATAAAACAGGGTACTAATTAGTTACAAATAATTTTTTGAAAAATTCTTTTGATAGAATAAAAAGATATATGACGTAACTTTCCTTAAAGAATAACATATTTTTAATCCTCAATCTTCATCAAAGTTAATTTTAATCCTCAAATCTTCATCAAAGTCTATTTAAGTTGTATATTTTTTTATTTTAAGGTGAAAAAATTGGGCTAGTGGTCTTTTTTGGCCACCTTTTTTTAAATAATGACCAAACATTTTATTTTTAGAGAAATAGAAGTGATTGTTTTTCTACGTAGTTATTTGGTAATAAACTATGATTAATCAATGATAGATTGATTTACCATCAATTTATCAATGGTTAATTGGTAGTTTATTATTTAAAATTGATTAATCTCTAATTGATGTTGATTTATCAATGATAAATAGTTAGATTAATCAGTAATCAATCATCAAATTATTCGGTCATAAACTACAATTAATAAAAAATGACCATTTTACAGAATTTCTTTCATTTATTAAAGAAACCGTAAAAAGGGTCATTTACTCCCAAATCGCTTATAACTTTTTAATTGCTTCTTTAGAAAAGCATTAATTGTTTTTGATAATGATACAAACAAATAAGAAGTTGATAATAAGACTAAATGACAAGTAAAACAAAGAAATGTTAAAAAAGAAAAAAAGCCAAAACAAAACAAAAAAAAGAACTTTTCTATAGGTTTAGAAAAAAAAATAAATCTGATAGTTCTCTGTTCTCACACGTTAAATTTATGTCTTTCTACGTATCTTTTCAATTTAATGTAATTTTAATTAGATTTAATAATTAGAAACATACCGACAGTAAAGAGACCACACCGGAAAATTTTCTTTAAAAAAAAAAAGATAAAAAAAATCCAAATGGCGGAGTGGCGAGGCAGTGCTACTCAGTAAATATATACAAGTGTTGGGTTCGTTCAAGAAAATAAAAATGTATAACGGTTTTTCCTTTTTTCTCGCATCGAGAAAGCAAGCAAACAACGTCCTGATCTCTCTCTCACTCTCTCTCGCGCCATGGAAGAGAAGCAGAAGCAAAAGGAGCAGAAGAACACCACGGACGCAGCCACGGCGACGGTGACGGCGACGAGTTATAATGAGCATAACTTGGACACGAGCAAAGCCGAGAGAGCTGTTTGGCTTCTGAAATGCCCTCCCATTGTCTCTCGCTCTTTACAAAAATCTCCTTATTTTTCTTCTTCTTCTTCCTGTGATTCTTCTTCTCTTCCCATCGCCAAGGTAGTCCTCTCTATCGACCCTCTTAATCCCAGCGATGCTACTAAGGTACCTTTTTTAGCCTTTTTCTAATTTATTGTTTAATTTTGCATGCATTATTTTCTTTTCTTGTTGATCTTCATGCACTGTAGAGTAGATATTGTTGGGTTCTTGAATCTTTCTGGTTTCATTTGGGTTTTGGGGTTTTATCTTAAAACCCATTTTCGATTCCATGTCTAGTATTTAATGTATGATTTTGTTCCACCTTTACAACAGATAAAAAGAAAAAGAGAAAAAAAGAGATATAAATTTTGTGGTTAGTGTCAGGATTAATATTGGAAAGATAGGATAGTTCATCCAAGTATTTTTATCACCTAGAAACTTGAAGTCCTTGAGAATTTATGTGAACTATGAAAAACTTAGCGTGTTTTGAATTGATCCGTTTTTGTTTTTTATGTTTTTTGAAAAAGAAAAAATAAAAATATTTTCAAAACGACGTTTAGTGTAATAAAGATAAAAAACGGAAATAAACAATTTTTTGGTTTAGTGTAAAATGAGAGAGAAATAAAAAACGTTTTTTAATCGTTTTTCATTTTTTATTTTCATTTTCTTCTCTCTCGAACAGAGAGAGAAAGAGAGACATTAATGGGTTTTTTTACACTGAAAATAATCTCTTAATAAAATTACTAAACGCATTTTTAAAAGTGATTTATGTCAAGACATTAATGGGTTTTTTTACACTGAAAATAATCTCTTAATAAAATTACCAAACGCATTTTCAAAAGTGATTTATGTCTGAAATTGAAAACTTTTTCATTTTCATTTTCATACAAAAAATAAAATCATTTTGAAACGAGTTCTAAACTCACTCTAAATTTTCTTCTTTTTACTATTGAATGGGCTTGGTTCTTTATTTTAATACACACACACACACACACACACATATATATATATATATACACACACACACACACATGTACACACACTATATGCTCTTCTTGTCATTTCTCTTTACCCACGACTACAAAATAAATGCAGTTCACCATGGAATTGGATGGCACAGAATCTGGCAATTCCCCCAAGAGTTATTGCATGGACATGTATACCGATTTTGTCCCTATGTCCGTGTTTTCGGAGTCTTCAAAAGGTAAACATGCATTTGAAATCTGGTTGATCGTATATATGATTCTCATTGTGGACATTTAATTTAAGTTAAACGTCACAATGATCATACATGCTTTAAAGTTCAACCTATAGATATATAGTTTGCAGAGATTGTAATAAAGACACTATTTAAAGTTTTCCTAATGTAACGTCAAAATAATAAATGCTTCATATGAAACAGGAAGCACTTGATGTTAGGATTAGAATATTATATGAACAGAGTATATGATGAATTTAGGATAGGTATTATTCAATTTTTCTTCAGGTAACATTCAATCTCATATTCATGCAAACATGTTACCTTTTTTATGCAAAAAGCAACTTATTAGTTGAGCATTATAGGGCAGGAGGATAGTCAAGTACAGTACTATCTTTAAAATAAATGCAGGATCATTTATGAGCTTTTATGTATAGTCCCATTGATTTACATTTGGTCACCGATTTGAAAAATTAAACTCAAGGGATGAGGTTCCTTTTTCATTATAGGAAATCTGTCTGTGGAGGGGAAAATTCTGCACAAATTTGACATGAAGCCACATGATGACAACATTGAAAACTACGGAAAGCTTTGCCGCGAACGAACTAAACAATATATGACTAGAATGAGGCAGATTAAGGTTTCTCATATCACTGCAAAAATTATGTTTGTCTGTAATATTCTAACAATTCGTAATAAGTAATCGAATAACTTTTACTTACTAGTAGTCCTTCACTTTTTCACATTCTTGTTTTTCAGGTGATTGACAACGACAACGGCGCTCGTATGAGGCCTATGCCAGGGATGTTGAGCATTGCTTCTGTATGTGTAACTCCAAACGCCTTTCTTTTCATTATACTATTGTGAATAAAAAAAGGCATTTTTATCAGCATATTATTGCAGCGAGATATCTATGGTTTTTCGAGTAAGAGATTTAACTAATTTCGATGTAAATTCAAGCATTGACACTCTATTTTCTTTGCTAGATTTTTCCCCTTCAGGTTTTCCCAGTAAGTTTTTAAAGAGGTCTACTATGAGGATTGGTTATCAAAGGAAAAGTTCTGTCCGTTCAGTAGAATATCTCCATTTGTTATTTTTATTCATGTCTGTTTTCTTTTCAGTATACTTTTTGTTAGTAATCATTTTGAATCTTCTCAAATAATTTTGTACTTTTCTTTTATTTTAAATCTCTCTTTGTTAAATTTGAGTGGGATTAATTTAGTATGTGAAAGAGCTTTTAAAGGATCTCAAACTAGTTGAGATGTTGTATCAGCTAGTTCTTAATGATCCCTCTTTTTTTTTTTGGTACTTTCATCTTTATGGGGCTACAGCTTCATGCCACTACCGAAGTGCCTTTTGAAGTATATACATCTTCAATTATCCTTCCCTTTCTGATCTTTAAGCAATAAGGAGACTGATGTGTTCATGTAGGATAAGAAGAAAATGACGACGAAGGGGTCTGACACCAGACGAATAAGGCGGGATCGCCGGGAAATGGAAGAGATCATGTTTAAGCTCTTTGAAAGGCAACCAAATAGGTCTTTAAGACAACTGATCCATGAGACGGACCAACCTGAAGTATGTTTTCTTGTTAATTAATTTTTTTTTTTTTTTTTTTTTTTAGGGAAGCCCCCCCGAATTTTGTTTTTTTTTTTTTTTTTTTTTTTTTTTTTTTTTTTTTTTTTTTTACACTGGTTAAATGTTTGACTTATCTGCCTAAAAGGATAAATGCTACAATTATGAGACATTCTGTAAAAAGTGTGGCATTGAAGATATCAAGAGGAACATATAGTTAGTATTTTACTAGTTCAAAACCATTTTTCTATTTTTCTTTTTCATTCATTGTTATGCCTTTAATGCCTGTTAATAACAAATTGATTTTTGATGGAATCTCTTTGCAGCAATTTCTAAAAGAGTTACTCAAAGATCTGTGTGTCTACAACAACAAAGGAGCTAATCAAGGGACATACGAGCTGAAACCAGAATACAGGAAATCAAACGAGTAGACAACATGAATATCATTGAGTTTTATCCAAAAAATAAAAAGAAGAACAAAAAAAAAAAACTTCATGACCACTGAGATTGAGGCCTTTTAGTACTCCTCATGGCTGTTCCTGCTTTTGTTAGGCTACTGACGTAATGCCTTTTTTATGCAATAGCATAGTTGGACGAAAATATTTTTGGGATTTGATAATTTTCATATATCAAGGTTTTGAATTTCATTTAGCGTTATTTTCTTTCAGAATTATCTGTAGTATTTTATTTTTGAAATTAGGATTATCTTGTTTAGAAATTATCCAGGCATTATTTGTTTTTCTTTTCAAGATAGAATTTTCTTATTCTGTCATGGTTCCCATTAGATACTTTTGTTACTTTGTTGGCGGCTTTTTCCGGCAATTTCATTTAGAGATTTATTCTAAAATTTGTGTGCGATTCTCGTTATTTTCTTTTCAATATTGATCCTTATTTTTCATCCAATGTTTTGAGTGAATCAATGGACCGTATTAGGAAGGTTATATCTTTTTTTATGTGTCACGTCTTTTACATATGCTTCTCTCGTTACGTCACTGCTTTTCTACTTTTCCACTAGAACTGAAACATGGTCTACACAAGTGAAAGAGAAGGAAGACACAGAGGCTTCGCTTCAGTATTATCCTTTCCGTATGTTTTAGGCTCTTGGTCACTTTTAGCAAATGTTTAGGCTGTGTTTAGAGTTGTTTTTGTTTTTATTTTTCATATTTTTTGAGAAAAAAAAATAAAAATGGAAGAAAAACGGTGTTTAGCACAATTAAAGACAAAAAACAAAAATGAAAACGATTTTTTAGTTTAGTGTAAAATAAGAGAGAAATGAAAAACGACTTTTTTGTTTCCGTTTTCTCTTCTCTCAAGTAGAGAGAGAGAGAGACATTAATGGATTTTTTATACTGAAAACAATCTCTTAATAAAACTACCAAACTCATTTTTAAAAATAATTTATGTCTGAAATTATGAAAACAATCTCTTAATAAAACTACCAAACGCATTTTTAAAAATAATTTTTGTCTGGGATTGAAAACGTTTTCATTTCTATTTTCATATAAAAAATAAAATCATTTTATAACGAGTTCCAAACACACGTGACTTGCATTTCTTTTGAAGTTGTGTTTCATTCTTTCCTCAACCCTGTCTTTGCGGGTTTTCTTTTTTTTTTTCCCTTTTGAATACGGGGGTGGGGGGATTTTTGACTCAACTCGTCTTTGCACTTTTTCTCTTGAATTCGGAAGTGGGGGGCATTTTGACTCTATTCCTCCATATAGTGTAGTAAAGTGTGAAATTACTTTTAAGTTATGCGTGTAATCACAACTGCCGTCTTTGCTTTTTACAGTGCAAAAAGGGCGCTAAATCAACTTCTGAGAGACTATCACGATGTAGCTAGTAAACCATTTTTGTTTCTTCTCATGGTCATTCTCGCAATTAGTTCTTGAATAAATTTTGGTGTCATCGTTATCTCATGATCGTCTATCCAAGGCATGGCTAGCCTAGCTTTGTACCCAAAAAAAAATAAATAAATAATAATAATAATAATAATAATAAACTGGCTTGGCTTTTGATATGTAATTTTATGACTTCATTTACTGTGGCCTGTTTAATTTAATATTCATTAAGTTATATAATGGTGTATTTCAATGTGAAGAAACGATTTAGAGGTGGTACAAGTTTTTATTTTAATTTTATTAAAAAAAAAAAAAAGCTTTCAAAAGGATTTGATTTGGAAACTTAAATTGAAAGAATGATGAACCTTTTTTTTTTTTAATGAGTGTATGGAAGTAATTTCACCTCCAATAACCCACCTAACAATCTGGTATTTGATGTCCAAAAATTGCTAAATTCAAGAGAAAACTTGGAAATGAGGTAAAAAGTATGGGGAAATTTCAAAATTTGTCCGAAAACAATTTAAATTTAGTTATGAAAAATTGTATATTGCAACTGTTGTTTTACACATCACGTACAACTTATTTTCCTTCGTTTCCTTATAAGCTCCAAAATCTCGTTTTTATGTCATTTTATGTTTACATTGGCTCTGGCTCAACATTTAAATTAAATTTATGCGCATGGTTGAACTGTAACAAATTTTCTCCGTGGTTCAGATTTGTCTTACAAGCATTATCTACCAAGTCTTGCACTATTAAACAGTATTACTTGGAAATTCACAAAATAGCCATTTAGATTTGGTACGCATAACATATTCAGTATAATTAATGAAACTATTAAGCTATGGCCTCTGGCCGATTTACTTTTCATTTTTTATTAAAGCAATGCACATTAGATTTCATTATATACTTGATCCGATTTTTAGTAAATAATAGAAGTGTTTATGTATAAGTATTTTCTCGCAAAATTGAAGTGAATAGGATCACTAATCTTTTAGAGTCTCTGAAATCATACACTATATATATTACTAACAATTTTTTGGTCACGTGATTGAATTCGCTATTCAGAAAACCCTTTTTTTTTTTTTTTTTGTAAGGTTGAACCTGCCAAAACTCTCTTCCATATGATTCCACTAGATATTTCTTATAACAAAAATTATTTTCATTAAACATTGAAATCTCATCTACAATTGACTTTAGATTTGATTCAAATGAATCGGTAACATCGAAAGATGCAACTCTTCCCCTGTAAGTTAATGCATAAAAATTATCATTATAGTATATGATATCATCAAATAGAATGACATGAATTCACGTGGAGTTTTTGGCCACAAAGTTCTCTAAATATTACCGCACATATCACATCATTTGGATTTGCTATTTGGGTCTGGTGTGAATGTTGTAAACTTCATGACATAATTCTCTAGGTACCATTCACTATAATCTTCTTCTACATATTCTTCCCCAAAAGGAAACAAAGGAGGGAGGGTAATAATTGCATCACTCTTCTATGAAGGTTTTGTGAAGTGTTATAACTAACTTCTCATCAATTGTAGCTAACCATCCTTTTGAAGAGCCACAAAAATGTCTACCATACCAAGGAAGTAATTTGTTCAACTGTAAAAATTTGTTATCCCTAATACTAAATACACTCCATTTACAACTTTTCTTCCTCTACTGGGAACCAAAAGCAATGGGATTTGATGATTACCCAAATTTTTCATTTGCCATTTTTTTTGGTTATCCCTTGCTGCAAAGTACCAGGGATGACAAACACTACCAAATTTCAAGTAGTCTTTTATTGATTCCAGACCCTTTAAAATTAAATCTAGAAAGCATTTTGTCCAACTCGTCCAATCTGAAAAGGAGAAAAAAGAGTAAATTATTTTTTTGAGACAAAAATTGAGGTATGCAGGCACTTGTACTAAATCACTCAAATTAAAAAAATAAATAAATAAATAAATAAAGATCTAAGACCATACTATTTAATGGACTTTTGTATTACTGGAAATTTCTCTATACTTTAACCCAATCTAGATCTAGAAAGATTAAAATTTACGGAGTGATTTTTTTTTTTTTTTGTTTTGCTAGAATATATGCAAAAAGATTTATAAATACAAAGTCGAGGCAAAAAAAAAAAAATTACAGCTACAAAACTATTGAGGTCAATGAATCGAATAACCTAATCTTTTTGTTGGGAAAAAAACCAAAAAACAATATACGAAAAATAAGCTAGGTTACGTACAGAAACAATTACAAGTATGAGTACCAACTTCTAATAAACTTGCAATTATATCCAACTCTATACATATATAAAGTAACAAGAGGATTGTGAGCAAGTACTACATGAAAAATAATAATTAAGATGCTTTTTTGGATGAGATTAATTGGAAATTAAAGCTTCTTAAATTAATTTACTGGATACAGTGAATAGAAAAATATTTCGGTAACAGAAATCAAGAATCTAGAACCAGTCCCTTAGAATTATTATTTAAAAGAAAAGAAAAAAAAAAAAGCAAAACAAAGAAATCAAGAGGTGGTACCTGAATCCATTATTTGGTATACTATAGGGAACTTGAACTAAATTTGGTATACTATTGAGGTATGCAGGCACTTGTACTAAATCACTCAAATTAAAAAAATAAATAAATAAATAAATAAAGATCTAAGACCATACTATTTAATGGACTTTTGTATTACTGGAAATTTCTCTATACTTTAACCCAATCTAGATCTAGAAAGATTAAAATTTACGGAGAGATTTTTTTTTTTTTTTTTGTTTTGCTAGAATATATGCAAAAAGATTTATAAATACAAAGTCGAAAAAAAAAAAAAAAAATTACAGCTACAAAACTATTGAGGTCAATGAATCGAATAACCTAATCTTTTTGTTGGGAAAAAAACCAAAAAACAATATACGAAAAATAAGCTAGGTTACGTACAGAAACAATTACAAGTATGAGTACCAACTTCTAATAAACTTGCAATTATATCCAACTCTATACATATATAAAGTAACAAGAGGATTGTGAGCAAGTACTACATGAAAAATAATAATTAAGATGCTTTTTTGGATGAGATTAATTGGAAATTAAAGCTTCTTAAATTAATTTACTGGATACAGTGAATAGAAAAATATTTCGGTAACAGAAATCAAGAATCTAGAACCAGTCCCTTAGAATTATTATTTAAAAGAAAAGAAAAAAAAAAAAGCAAAACAAAGAAATCAAGAGGTGGTACCTGAATCCATTATTTGGTATACTATAGGGAACTTGAACTAAATTTGGTATACTATTGAGGTATGCAGGCACTTGTACTAAATCACTCAAATTAATAAATAAATAAAGATCTAAGACCATACTATTTAATGGACTTTTGTATTAATGGGCTTGTTCATAAATTCAAAAAAAGTTTAAACTCAAGTTACAATTTTATTTAAGTTCTATTTTTTTTGTAAAATTTGAGTTTTAATTTAAGTTTTAACTTGAGTTTGGAGTTAAAATCTGAGTTCAAATTTCTCTTTTAACCTATTATTTGGTATACTATTTTAAAGTATGTTTTATATATGATTAATTTTTATTTTATATATTCTGTTT